CAGCTCTGCTGCCGGGGAGAAAATAAATAAACCCTGCTATTTGCAAATGGTTCTCGTGGTCACAGCTCAGAACCCCCGAAAAGCCGGCTTGGAAGAAGTCATCTTACACAAAGCTCTGCCCTAGCAGCTGATCCACAGCATCTATGCTGTTCTGAAGGGACACTGGTCTGTTAAGATCTCTAATGAGGTCTTCTACAACCTTCTCAGGAACTGACTACAGTGCTCACTTATCACTACCGTTAGAAAATTTTCTTCATAACCTGAATGTCCCTACTGGTATCTGTTTTTGTTATTTCTTTCCATAGCTGTTATGAACTTGGAGAATGGATCACCCCTTTAATGTTTTTTAGGACAGATATCACGCTTTTTCTCACGTTTTTCTTCTCTAGACTAATTAACTCTAATTTATTCAGTCTTTCTTTATAGCTTATGTTTGTTTTTCTCCGAAACCTCCTGTCACTCTGCATCATCCTTGATGCACAGCCCCAAAAGGGAAGGCGGAAATTCCTCTGAGGCTTTGTCAGTGCTGAGAAAGGTAGCGGGTTACTTCACATGTCTTGCAAGCTAACTTCTGTTCACACGTCTTGGCGTACGCAGTGTGTGTGTTCTTCTTGACAGCATGCCATCATTGTGCCACTACAAGCCCAGATGATCTTCCCTAGGGATGCTACCCAGCCGGTCGTTCCTCATCCACTACGTGTGTCATCAACTATTTCTGCTGAAGTGCCTTCAGCACACCCATATTGAAATGATCTTTTTTGGGAGCAAGTACTCCAATTTTTTAAGATTGTTTGGAATTTAATCCTGCCCTCCATTGTACTTGCAAATCTTTTCAGCTTTTTATATGAGCTGCTGAGTTAATAGCACACTATTTCATTATCCTGGCTAATGAAAACATGGAATGATACTATGTTCAAAACAGAGGTCCAGGAAAGACCTCATTTTTCACATCCTTCCACTTAGGGAGTGAGCCACTAATAATTGCTTTCCGAACAAGGCCAGCCACCAGTTTCGTCCTGCCCTTAATGAAGCTTAATCAATGTCACATATCTCTTGGCCATTATATTAGTGCTGAGGTGGTGCCAAAAGCCTTTACTCAAGTCAAGCTGTAGCATCTACTACTTCTGTGTCTACATGCCATTATCCGATCAGCAAAGAAAACGAGATTGATCCGACACTGTTTCTCCTTGATAAATCCAGTGAGGCTCTTTCTTACTCATATTCAGTTTCAAAAGGTGCTTTTATAAAGTTTTATTAGCTATTGCAGGACTTTTTCCAGGAATTGTTATTTAACTGACTGATCTACAATTCCCCAAATTTCCTTTCTTCACCATGTTGGACAGAGATAAATAGGCAGTTCCCTCCTGTTTTTCAGTGTCTCCCCTGCTTTCTGCATCCTCCGGGGCAGTTTCTGCCTTTCCTGAGGTTGCTTCAGATACTTCTGGATGAAGTCACCTTTGCTAGAGAACAGGACAATTTGCAAAGACCCTTTAAGGGCTCTGTTGTAATTCTGGGTGGTGGGAGGTGTGGAATAAAACCTTTAAAATTAATCAGAAACAGTAGAAAAATAAAGAACATGATTTTAGGTATGATGAAACATTAACACCGATGTCAACAGTTACCAGTGTTACTGTACTGTCTTTGAGTACCTTAACATTAACTTAAGTAAAACTTTGCTTGCCCTGTGAAATGGGCAGTATTTTCCTCATTTAACTTTCCTCATGGGGAAAGTCAAAGACCTGAGTATCTGAAGGGCTCATTCATAGTTAATTTTTGAGAGAAAAATACACAGCATCTTGTTCTCAGGATGCCCCACTGAAATTGTCAGGCTGCACCTAGCAAAAGGGTTTCTGGGTCTCATCCTGAATAAATCCCGTAAGCCATACTGCCAGGCAGTAACAAACCCAGAAAGGAAAACCAGACCTAGCATTCAGCTCCCAAACCAGTGCACAGAGCAAAAGCTCACTGTCTTTACTTGAGGAAAAAGTTTCATGGGTCTTTGCATGTAAGAAAACTTACTAAAGCCCTTTCATTTACCATAAGGAAAAAGCAGAAGACTATATCACGTGCAAAGCATGCGAGAGGCACAGAGGAAGGGCTTGAGCTGATTTCACAGTATGCAAAGAGGGGGGGATTTTTCCAGCCTGAGGAGGCAGGAAACGCTGATGGAGAAAAGAGACTGTCAGATGTTGGGAAAATTCCTCTTCTGTGGCACCTCGCTGGACGCACTTCCTCCTCTCCTTCAGCCCTATTCTGTATTGGCATATAGATGCCTACCCAAAATACATTTCCCAGGATGTGCTAAGGGCAGGGGAGTCCCTTAAGGCATCCAGCCACCTTCCCAGCATGACCAGAATATACTGGGGGAGATGGTGCCTACCCAGGGAGCGCTGCTATCAAGGGGAACAGAAGAAAGAAGCAACAAAGTCGTATTGCATTCATCCGAGGTACCAGAGCTCCATTTCACTCTCCTGTCATATCATTTCTACATATTTCTTCAAGAAGGGTGATACTTTCAGTGGAAAGGTTTCATGGAAAATATTTTGTTTTGTTACTGAAAGAGCATCCATTCTCTGACTGAATTTGGCTACTGACATAGCAATCTTGATCATGCAGGTGTTACACACACACAGAGAAGCGATCAAAAAATGACTATATGATGTGCAGCCACCTTGTTTCCCTCAGAAAAGAGAAGCAAATAACTTTGAAAGATTAGACACCTGACCACACATTTAACTTGCCTGAAAACATCCGTTTCTTAAAGAAAAATCTCCCATATATTTGGCAGCGGGCATTTCTCACGTTAAAAGTGCTGACTCGATCTATAAGGCCAAGAAGACACAGAGGAAGTTCTCATGGCTCCCTCCCAGTGCCTTCCCAGACAGCAAACTGTGCTGGCAGGGTCTGGGGTCGAGCTGTTGAAAGGAAATCACACCTTCCTCCTACAAATGAAGCTGATCTCAGCTTAATTTCTGTTCCTAATAAGGCTGCTGACCGAATCAGCTGCAAGAACTGACGTTACCCCTGCTCCGCACCGCGGCGAGTGTAACCATCGTCTCCTCCGTGATTTCCCTTTCCTGCTTGTGAAAAGGAAGAGCCACAGACGGCTTGTCAGTGTTTTCAAGAGTTAGTCGAGAGAGCAGCTAATCAGTGAAACCCCAGAGGTGGCCATCTGGGCTAGCAGGCAGCAGCCTGCCCGTGGTCACTCACTAGCCCTCCCAGCCAGGTCTGGCCTGTGCAGGTTTAATGCTCTGCACGTTTCGTTTTTAGCTTGTGGTTTACAGAGGTGTGGACAGTCTGTTTTCATCCTGAGTCGCGCTCACGTGGATGCTTTTAGCTGAAGGGACACCTCAGAGAGAGCAAATGGTGTGGGAGGCAGGTTTTTTTGGTGTCTTCCCACTGAACAAACATGCCAGGGAGATGCTCGGTGGTCCCAGCAACGGGACTGGTGCAGCTTTCCTCCCTTTAGGAGGGAAAAAACCCCACAATTTATCTTGTGCAAGGCAACTTGAATGCAGTGTGCAGTCACTTTAGCAATTTAGAGCCTTGCTGGGTCAATAGGATAAAAAAAGCAGACAACGCTCACATCTGACATTTAAAAAGCACCAGTCTAAAAATCCTACAGGCGAGCATGCTCACCGCCTTTCCTGCGCCATTGAAACCATAGATGCCTAAAGATCTCGCCATCAAAAACCATCACTTCCCTCTCGCTCTGGCAGCTGCTCGGTCACCGCTTCTGTGACTGCCGGCCCAAAACAAGGCCAGACCCTGACAGCCATTTCTGCTTTTCACAACTCACTTTCATTTTCCGGCTGGCGGCTGAGCCCTGGCAGGGGGTGCGCCAGCCCCCAC